TATATGGTCTCATTCTTTTGGGGAATATAAATAATAGTGAAAGGGAATAGAAGGGAAGGGAGAAGAAATTGGTAGGAAATATCAGAAAGGGAGACAGAACATCAGAGACTCCTAACTCTGGGAAATGAGCTAGAACTAGGGGTGGTGGAAGGGGAGGAGGGCCGGGGTTGGGTGAATGGATGACCGGCACTGAGGGGATTACTTGACAGGATGAGCACTGGGTGTTATTTTGTATGTTGGCAAATTGAACACCAATAAAAAGTAAATTTATTATATTAAACAAAAGAACCTTATAAATTGGCTAAAGGCTGTTGTGGACTGATTGCATAGAGAAAAGGGGAAATTTCTGCTTTCTAAGTCTCTTACCAGATTTCTTCCTGCCACCAGCATTCTGGAACCTATCAGGAATTTCTCTCTTGGAAAAACGATAATATTTGGATACCAGGAGAATAAATATTGTGAAACCTGGAATCCATTCTGCCAGGAATTCCATCTGCCAAAACCAGCACTACTTGCAGGTCCATCAGAATTGCATTCCAGAGATTAAAACAAAAACAAACAAACAAAGAAACAAAAAACAAAAAGGACTCCTTTCAACCTTCAGCAAATAATTGAACTCTAGAAAATGAATGTGTTCTTATGCTTGGTCTGTGTTTCCTTCCCATTTCTGTATTTCAAACGCAAATCAAGTTTAAGTTTGCTGCCTTTTCTAATATACCACCTAAGGGAAGCCTTCTAGCAAAGGTTAGAAGAAAACAAAAAATCCTAGATTTACAAAACATAACAATTATTTCCTCCTGCTCCCTTCCCTCAAAATTTCCCAGCTGCCTCCAAACCAACATACAGTCAGTAAGTAGTTTGTTGTGATGCTCTCTGAATGTAATTTCCTTGGAAGGTTAACAGTTCTGAGATCCAGTTGCCTACATCTTGCCTAGTTCCCCTCCCTCTTGCCCTTGCAACCTTCTCAGCTGCCTGCTGGGGTCCTTCTCCCAAAAGTAAAGAAAGGATTGTCAGCAATCAGGGAAAAGAATTAGCCTCAAATTCGGGAAAGCAGCTGGGTTGTCCTTAAAAGGAGAAAAGTAAACACAGAGGAAGCCTATAGAGGCTTATGTCTTGAAAAATCCCATTCCTGAATCTTCCCAATTTGGCGCGCTGGTCTCCAAAAAGCGACTGTGCATCCTTATCACAAAGAGCACGGTGGCTTTTCCTCTGTAGCAGCAGCAACTAGAACCTTTCTTTTCACAACTCCCAATTTCCAGGCCCCTCTTTCAGTGAAGGGGACTCCTCACAAGGCGCCACCGCCTTCAGTTGACCCCCTCCCCCACCGCACCGTTTCTTTGCCAAGAAGATGCTCTTGGGTTTCTAGAGAGCTTGCTCTGTTGCTAGAGAAAAGAGGCCTGTCCACGGGATTTTAGAGACACCAGTCTTCACACCCCCATTATCATTCAGGAAGGAGAGAAAACAGCGGAAATTTAACAGTGGTAACTATTATTATTTTATCCGAAGAATTTGCCCTCTACAATGCCTAAGTAAGTAAATTCACAGTTAATAGTGAAGGTGTAAACTGAAAGGGGGAGAGGCCGGGGGGAGGAGAAGGCAAAGGAGAAAAGGAGTGAGAGGAGATCTTAAATTTGTGTCTGATCCCGAGGTTCAAAGCGCTGGCTGCAGCCTAGCCCGCAGTAGTCTCTCCGCCTCCCAGGTCTCTGCGCGCCTCGGAGGAGCTGGTAAACTGGAAGGAGGGGCTGAGAGCTAGAGTAGGGATGGAGGCCGAAAGGAAGCAATGCGGCTGCGCACAGGGAGCGCGTGGGGCAGGGCTGCTAGCGTTGGTGAACCCGACCACGCGCCTGGCTTCTTCTTGGCCTTGCCTCTCCAGGGCTGACATCATTGCCAGAAGGAGGGGCTGCCCAGAAGGCGACTGGAGAAAAAGGTTCTGGGGCTTCGCTAACGGAGACGCTCCCTTGCCGCTTGGCAGAAGCAGCGCGATGGCAGCGGTGGCTGGACTTAGCCCGTGCGAGCTGCTCGAGGCAATTCTTAATTTAGTACAGGGAGAAAGATATCTTTAGACCTTAGCGCTTCTATCTCTTGGCTCATTCGTCGAAACCGCCCGCACAGCGTTCTCACTTCCTCGGATGAACCAGACAAAGGGAGAAAGGGGAGGGGATCTACACATAATGTCACTTCTACTTGCTGTCAAACCCCCACCTCCTGCAACATACACAAGCTGAAGGACAGCCCTGAGGCTTAGATTTCCAGCTGTGATTGTGCGAGTCTGTTTCAAATAAGATTAAGAGTGGAATTCCATTTAGTCTTTACCAAGTTCAAAAGGGTGCCCCGCAAGTAACTTTTTTTTTTTTTTTACCTTTTATGGGAGGAGGAAGAGTCGCTTTGGTCCTAAGGCTCCACTACCTTCTCAGGTGTTAGGCTGTGTTCAGAATTCTCTGCACTCTCCTCAGGTTGTTTCCCTGTTGCAGCGCTTAACAGCACGCAAGCAGCCCTTCCTTTTTTTTTTTTTCCAGTTTCTTCTTTTATTTATTTATTTTTTAATAAATTAATTTTTATTGGTGTTCAATTTACCAACATACAGAATAACACCCAGTGCTCATCCCGTCAAGTGTCCCCCTCAGTACCCGTCACCCACTCACCCCCATCCCCGCCCTCCGCCCCCTCCACCACCCCTAGTTCGGTTCCCAGAGTTAGGAGTCTTTATGTTCTGTCTCCCTTTCTGATATTTCCCACCCATTTCTTCTCCCTTCCCTTATATTCCCTTTCACTATTATGCATATTCCCCAAATGAATGAGAACATACACTGTTTGTCCTTCTCCGATTGACTTACTTCACTCAGCATAATACCCTCCAGTTCCATCCACGTCGAAGCAAATGGTGGGTATTTGTCGTTTCTAATGGCTGAGTCATATTCCATTGTATACATAAACCACATCTTCTTTATCCATTCATCTTTCGATGGACACCGAGGCTCCTTCCACAGTTTGGCTATTGTGGACATTGCTGCTAGAAACATCGGGGTGCAGGTGTCCCGGCGTTTCATTGCATCTGAATCTTTGGGGTAAATCCCTAACAGGCAAGCAGCCCTTCCAACACCATCGCCTCCTTCCGATATTTTTTGCCCCCTTCCCAGCCTATCCCCGTTTTTAATCACTTTCTTCCACATACTTTCCTTGGTACAAAAACAGTTCCTGTGCTAGGTTTAAATGCCATCATGATTGTCATTTTCCAATTGACTTACTTCGAACATGAGAGACCCCTAACTCTGGGAAACGAACAAGAGGGGGTGGAAAGGGAGGTGGGCCGGGGTTGGGGTGATTGGGTGATGGGCACTGAGGGGGGCACTTGACAGGATGAGCACTGGGTGTTTCTCTATATGTTGGCAAATCAAACTCCAATAAAAAATATACAAAATAAATAAATAAATGTCATCATGAGATATTTGCACACAAGGACTTGCTTTCGTTTTGTTCTTGCTATTTAATTTATTCTTTTGTGCTAGCTCCTCTCTTCTTCTTAGGTCTTTGTTTTGTGGGTGTGCGCCGCAGTGGCGCAAGTTTCAATTACCCGCCCCCCAGCCAATATTTTGGAAGGGCACCCCACTCGGAGATGGGAGACCCCTCCTACAGAAGCCTGTGAACACTCATTTTATACGTGCACCCGGGCGCCTCGCACCCAAAATCGCAAAGGCGGCCAAAGTGGCTAAACCTGGAATTAATTCATATGGAAACGATGAGGCCATTTTCAGTTGAACTCTAAGTATTTCTTTGGGGGAAGAAAGGAAGTGGTTCCCGTCTTACACTCTAGAAAAGGGACCTCCCGGCTTTTTTTTTTTTTCCAAAGGAAGTTAATTTGTGGCTAAGCACTCATGTAAATCGTGTCTCCAACCAAAGGCAGACTGCCTCTGCTTTTCTAAAGTCTCTAAGGAAAACCACCCATTTGCGGTTACATGCTTTTAAAAAGTCACGTTTTTCTGATGATGTCCTTATTTAGGCATTCATTTTCGAGAAATGGGGCTGTTTATGGCTACGCTGCTTAAATAATTCCTTTGTGGAGAGATGAACTGTTTTTAGGTTCTATCTTAATAAATGCCATTCATTTATGGGCTAGGTAAGCGGTTTTGTTTTTGTCGCTGTTGTTGTTTTGTGGGTTTTTTGTTTTATGGGGGTTTTTTGGCTAAAAGATTAAAAGTCATTTCTTTAGTGAAAGAGGGACAATTTTAGGTTCAGCTACGCTCTTAGAAAAAAATATATTTTAAAGTGAGGAATGTATGTTGTTTTTCACCTACGCGATTATAAGAAATTTTTTTTAAAGCTAGGCAGAATTTTCCACACCTACCACCTCCATATTCAGCAAGTGCTGCTGGCTGACCACAGCTCCTTAAGTAGGGCGGGAAGGAAAGGCGGGGAGGCCAGCACCAGACAGAATGGCCTGGGGGACTCTGCGCCCTCTGTGTCGCGCTGCACTCTCCTTCACTCTGTGCCAAGGGTCGAGCCCCCAAGAATTAGAGTCAGTCTGGCTGGGATCCAAACCCAAAGCCCTCAGAGATTACAAACGCACAGCTCCCTCAGCTCCGCTGGGCTAGCCAGAGTCCGGGGTGTGATCTTTTCTCAGCACCTGCTCAGATATTAGAGTTTCCCTCAGCCTCACTGAAGCTGGCTATATCTGTTAAAGTGAAAGACCTTTTTCTGCAGGGCCAATGTCGGGGAAATTCACAAGTAGACACTTTTCTGACAGAAGTGAGAGTTTTCGCAAAGTAACCAAGTCAAGCCAAAAGATATTCTACCTGCTCTCACCCCTGGGGTTTGCTTTATCTTACCTCCAGGGAACAGATGGGGCCAGGGGGTTGGGAGGACTCCAGAAGCGTCTCCAAAACCCTTCTTGTTGTAGTCAAGCCCCCAGGAATGTGCAGCAGGAAGCCTCAGCGTACTAAGTAAGTACGGTACTCTCGCCTCACGGGCCGCGCTTTGTTCTGGCACCTGGACCCGATACTTACCCAGTGAATGAAGCCTCTACAGTAGTAAAAAAGAGAAAAGGCTTCCGCCAGCTCCACCAAGACTGCGATTGCTGTAGCTAGCTCTACCACCACAGCTCACAGTTCCTGTAGCAGCTGGAGTTGTGGAGGCTGCCTCTGGGGCTGTTCAGAATGCCGGGACTTCCTGATCTGCCTGTGTCGCCGCTGCTAATGTCACTCGGCGCATTCAGTTCAGCTTGCTTTCCGCTTTGCCAAGAGGGCGGCCGCAAGTAGCTCAGGCTCACTGCATCTCCCGCCCGGACGGTTCCCCGACTGCAAGGATCCAGTGGCCAGCCAACCCTTTTCAAAGGCAAGGGGGAGGGATTAAAGAGTGGGGAAGAAGGGGGGAAAGAGGGGGGTTGAACGAGTGGAGGGCGAGGGTGAGGGGAAAAGTAAACCAAGGCCCGGGCCGCCTGCTGGGAAGGGATGGCGCAGCACCTACTGCTGGGTACCCCCCTCACGTCCCCACTGCCTGCACCCCACATCTCTTACCACTCCGGGAGCGGACCCTCCCGGCTGACCGGGAATTGGGAGAGAAGGGCGAGAGCGAGAAGGAGGTAAGCTTAGGAAGTACTGTTTGCTGCTTCGCGAAGGCTGCAGAATGTGTGCTGGCTGCTAGCTCCCAGGTCGGACCCGCTGCTGGGGAAAATGCACTGCTTTCAGGCTGCGGGTTTTGCAGAATAAAAACTAGGGCACTCGTTGCTCCTCTCGGTCCTCCACTCGCCGCTGTCTTAACTTCCTTTTAAGTTTAATTCATTTATATTATCTTACAGAAATTTTATTTCATTTTTGTTCTGTGTGCTTTTCTCCTGATCCTCATGAGGGCCCTGATTGCAGCTAGAGGACAAGCATTCAGAAGCACCGTTTTCTCATACAAAGGGTACTTAAAGGCAAACTAGTGGAAGTAGGAACATGAGCCCGGTAAAACCGTAGTTGTAACCAAGAGACTGTCTGCACATATCATACTCAATGGTGAGCCAGTTCTGGTACCTCGCTTGCCTTTCAGATTGATGTCCTGAGGGTGGCAGAGAGGGGGATGGGAGGGAGATCTAGCATTTGGCTACCCCAGACAGTAAGTACATGGGAGAGTTAGCAGGTCGGTCATTCCGAGTGGCTTTAGTGAGGTCCAGCGCTTTGATGCTTGCAACTATGCAGCATTGTGGGCGTGGACAGCACCATTTCTTTTTTTTTTTTTTAATAAATTAATTTTTATTGGTGTTCAATTTACCAACATACAGAATAACACCCAGGGCTCATCCCATCAAGTGCCCCCTCAGTGCCCGTCACCCATTCACCCCCACCCCCCGTCCCCCTCCCCTTCCACCACCCCTACTTCGTTTCCCAGAGTTAGGAGTCTTTATGTTCTGTCTCCCTTTCTGATATTTACCACACATTTCTTCTCCCCTCCCTTATATTCCCTTTCACCACTATTCATATTCCCCAAATGAATGAGAACATACAGCACCATTTCTAAAGTAGGAAAGGATCCAAGAGAGGGAGGAACCCAGCCCTGAGCCCGCAAGACTGATGCTTGCAGGCGCCCTCCCGCTACCTAGTCAGTGACGCCAGGACAGGCTAAGTTGTAGCGGTTCTCTCAAAAACGCTAAAGCAGGGAGGGCCAATATGGCTGGCTAAGGGCTCTGGGGTCGTGGGTATCTCCAAACAGAGCTAATTTCCCCGTCCCAGTCATGGGATTAAAAGCAGAGCAACAATTAAAACCTTCCCAGCCAGTCTACTCTGATTTTTACTTCAAAGTGTGAGTCCTTAAATTTACCCAGAGGCCAGAGAATGAATGAACCAGGTGAATTTTCTAAGTTCCTCCTCAGAAAGGTATAGGTTTTTAGGGGAAAAAAAATCCATTTTCCATACCTAACCAAGAGAGAAAAAATATCTTTCTAGTGCTCTGTTTTGTTTTGAAGAGGAGACTCTTTCCTGAAATAAAAAGAAAAAGTAGATAATGTTTTTGGATGCCAAGGGCACAGTATTCGTTTTAATTTTTGTCTACTGAATGAACGAAGGAATGCATCCGCATAGGGTAGAACATCAAGAAAGGGAAAAATGCTAATTATCATGAGTTGATTTTCTCTAATAGCTTCTTCATGAAAAGTTTTTGGTGGTTGTTTTGGTTTTGCTTTTTTTTTTTCAATTGAAGGGCAGATCTTTATTACTTTTTTCCCTAGTATGTCCATTTCCATCTTCATAACTGCCTTACTTCCAATTTCTGATATTATTTAAAGGTAAAAACCTTGGTTCAAATAATCCTCACATCACTTTCCTTTTGCTTTTTATTTATCTTTTTATTTTTACTTGTGACGCCACAACTGAGAGTGTCATGAGCACCGTAGTTCAGTGTGATCTTCATGAAAGAGGACATACTGAAGTATTTACTATTACACTTTACTCCTCCTGTCACTCTGACTTCATTATTCACAGTATCCAGTACATACATTGTCCTCTTCTTGGTAATTAGGAAAATTTCTTGAAGGTTAAATCAGAAGCTGTTAAATGGTTGCAGTTCTGACCCCTTGGGGTTTGCATTTCTGGATAATACTCTGCCGTAGAGGATGGCAGGAACTCAATGAAAATAAAATTGCTTACTGATTCAGGACAGTGTGGAGGCAATGCCATGGAGGCACTCTGGGAGCACTAATAATCATTTATAACATCCACTTTATTTTTATTTTTTACAACTCAACTCATTTTTAATTTTTATTACAGTCCCTTATTTAGAAAAATAAATTAATAGCAGTTATGAACATGGAATACTGAGACCTTAGATATAAAATATAACATCCACTTTTGGTACCAACTAATTGATTTCTTAAAATTTCCATCTAAATTCAATGCAGGAGGAGAGAACTATCAGATTGTTATGAAGCATTTGGTTATCATCCTGACAGAATCAAGAGATTAATAGTTATACACATTTTACAGTTCCTGAAACTGAAATTCATAGAGGGCAGATACTTTGTGCAAGACCATGGAGCTGAAGAGTAACAGACTCTGGATGTCCACTCAGAGTGTATTAATTCCTAAATTCAGCTACATGATTGCTTTATAGTTAATCTATATTATGCTACAATATATAGCACAATATTTAGTTTTAAATGTCAGTCCAATAGAAAATTATCTCTGTAGAGGAGAAATATTACTTACAGACCAAGGAGACTACCAGTTGAACTAAGTGAATCAGAAAATGGTCTGAGAAATGCAGTTTGTTGTTTAGACTGAAATCCACACCTAAAAATAATGAAAATGCTTCCCATTTTCTCTTCTCCTGTGTTCTATCAGATGATGGCATCAGATGAAATAGCCAAAAGCCAGGGCACGTGGCCAAAGTTTTCCTCTTGGTGCTTTAACTCTAAAAGGATTGATGGGGACTCAACTCTGTAGTACAAAGAAAAGGACTCCTTGATTGTGAATGTCTTTTTTGCACCATCAGTATTACATACATTGTCCTATTAATCCTCAAAACATTCTGTGAAATAGCTATTATTAGTTTCATTTTCTTTTTTTATTAACAAATGAGGAAACAGAGACTCACAGAGACCAGATAAAATGTCCAAGGTTCTATAAGTATAAAGTATGGAGAGTTGGGAAATTCAAACCCATGTCATTTCCAGTTCAATGCTGACCTTCAGCATATGGTCCTCCAATTGTGTGGCTACACATTTTCAGAATTTGTTTTACATTAAAAACTATGTAATTAACAAAAGCCCTCAAAAGCTAAAAGGATACTGTAGGAATTTCGATTTTGGAGCAAATGCCATGAAAGAGTGGTGACATTTATTGCATTTTGTTCGTTCAGTGTTCCAATTTTGAACTTGATCTGGAGTTCTGCTAAAATCAGAAAAGGGAAATTATGGCAATGTGTACCCTATAAACATGGAAATCTGTATAATTTGTGAATATTAAACTATGAAGCCATTATATAATTATAGAATGATCACAGAAGAGTTTTAAAATACTTCAATGAATAAGGATGTTTCTCAGGCTGGTAAGAATTGAGTAAAACTGAGAAATAAGGTGTTAATGTGAAAAAGGGGTTGATCAGCCATGGAGACCTAGTTTAAAAAGAGTCAAAGAGGTGAGCATTGGTAGCCCCTACTCATGTTCATTTTCATCTCACTAACAAAACCACCATTGATATGAAATTGATAATATTTGATATTAATTGATGATATTGATATGAATATTGATGAAAATATTCTGAGATTTCAGTCACCCTGCATTGAAATATCTCTTACCAAGCAATGTGACTGTAATTTGAATTCTCATGTACTCTGTCTTCAGAAAGAATGCACAGGTCATGCAGATATATGAGAATAGGTATTTTGTTTCATGTAATAGTTATTTTGCATAAAATCCCAATCATCTTTGTGTTGTCCATAACAACTTGCATTGTACATTTTACATAAATGTTACAATAAACAAATAATCATTGTTATTGAGAAAGTAGGTGGGCTTGTGGCCATCAAACTGTAATACTGGATGAATTACATTCTGTATATTTTTCATATTTAATATTAATGATCTTCAACAATTGCAATTAGTAGGAGGCAGTGATGCCCAGTGATTCAGAAAAGAACTGTGGTTTTAGACCAAATTTGGAGTTCTGGCTCTGGCAATTTTTAGCTCTGTGACTGTGGGCAAATTAATATCTGGACCTATATTGTATAAAAGATAGATACTAGCCATGAGACTATTGGGAACTTGCAATGTGACTATCCATATTGGGATGCACTGTAAGTAATAAAATACACACTCTATTTTGAAGATTTAGTGTATGTGCATACACACATATATATGTGAAATACATCACTAATATTTTATATAAATTGTAAGATGAAATAATAGTTTCACTAATTGGTTAATTGTGTTATTAAAATAATTTCACCTGTTTGCTTTTAATTTTTTTTTAATTTTTTTTTAATTTTTATTTATTTATGATAGTCACAGAGAGAGAAAGAGAGAGAGGCAGAGACATAGGCAGAGGGAGAAGCAGGCTCCATGCACCAGGAGCCCGATGTGGGATTCGATCCCGGGTCTCCAGGATCGCGCCCTGGGCCAAAGGCAGGCACCAAACCGCTGCGCCACCCAGGGATCCCCTGCTTTTAATATTTTTAATGTTAGAAAAGCTGCTAGAAAATTTTAAATTAGAAA